GTACATAGCAAATGTCGAAGCTTTATTAATGTCTAAATTGCAGAGGTATGTGAAAAGAAAACAAAAGGCTGAAAGCAGCTGTTGCTGCTTCACAGCTAATCATAGGTTACAAAAGTAATAGGGCTTGGCTTCTGAATCTTTTTGTGCCATACTCCAGCAAGGAATTCACAACCAAACTGGGACCCAATGGGAGCTCTCTGATTTTTGTCCCAGCTGGAAAAGCTGGAGCTGACTTCTTAGTGCATGGGGGAAAGGCTAGGGTGCATTGTACCAGTGCCAGTGTGTCTCATCAGGATTTCACTCTGGTTTTGCAGTGTTTTGTAGAACACAACTGGTTTCACTTGATTGGCATCATATGCGGTCTTGCAATATACAACTTCACAGTGGTAGACCTTCACTTTCCCTTGGCTCTATACAAAAAACTCTTGAACGTGAAGCCCTGCCTAGAGGATTTGAAGGAGCTATCCCCTACGGAAGGAAGGTATGAAAAACAAAATTTCCAGCCTTTCTGGAAGGGAGACCATCCGACTGAGAACAAGAAATGTGAAACTGGGTAAAAGCTGTTCAGTGAAACACCCCCTGATCCTTTTGAGTGACTGGTTAATTTGGGGGGCTGTGATCCTGGCAAAGTACATAAGCTGGTAGTGAATTTCATGTAGGACCTCTCCTCTCCCACGGGCTGTCGGATCCATCTGCTTAGGCTGTAACCTCTGTACCCATCTTCCCGACCCCCAGAAACTGGGTATCAACACAGCCAAAAGATACCTACCACCCTCCTTTGAAAAGAGGGGTGAGGGCCTGTCCCTCCATGTGTGATCCCGGATCCTGCCCTCAGCCTTTCCCATCAAGCCAGGCTTGGGTTAGCAGGCAGGTCTGCTGCATGTCTCATGATGCAGCCCAGGATGGGGACTGTGCGTAGGACATGAACTGTCCCATTCCTGAACCAGCGTAACTCTGACCTGCTCCCGTGCCAGAAAGGAGGAGGTTGAAAGGAGTGAAGGAATGACTTCTTCTAAATGGCGTGTCGAATCTTTTCTGCCTAATTGCATGGGGATATTGGTTCCCTCTGACACAGATAGGTTAAGATCCCCCTGTCTGCCTGCTGTCGTCTTTTTTTTTCTTCTGAGTTGCCATCTGATTTATCCGCACAAAGTGACAGTTTTATTTAACGTTAATGAGGTAACATGCCAGTAAGACGGCAGCAGGATTTTGAGAGGTAGGAGAAGAATATTTTATACGTGATGGGGATACAGATATTATCCACCACCATCTCTTCCTCCGCTCCCTCAGACCTTTGTGTGGTGATGGCATAAATATCTAGCAGTCCTTAAGAAACAGAAATGTAATTCTGTTCTAAGGCCAGGATCATGAAAGACGATCCATGTACTAGGTGGGGATGGATGATATTGATAATTTGTGTGGGCTGGCATTTATCCTGCTTCTAACAAAGCATCTCTTTATTTGACGTGTAATTTCTTTCTTACCGCTTTGGGTAACTCGGGTTTATCCTGCTTTTAACAAAGCATCTCTTTATTTGACGTGTATTTCTTTCTTACCGCTTTGGGTAACTCGGCGATTCTCTCTTGCAGTCCTATTAGCCAGATGTGTGATGCTGTTTACTTCTGCTGAATTTCTTTTCCCCTTTAGATGTATGGCTTTTGGAATCTCTGATTTATTTTTTTCCTCATTTCTTTCCATGTTATGTAGGAGTCTTCAGCAACTTTTAGATTACCCTGGGGAAGATGTAGAAGAGACATTCTGCTTGAATTTTACAGTAAGACACGTTTAATGTATCAACTCTGTGATTGTTATGGTACAGTTGAAGCCCATCTACTTATTTATGTGTGTTATGGTTTATTCCAAACTGTGCCTGCAGCACATACTCCATGTTAATGTTAAAATGTTAGAATTCTGTGCTCTCAGCTCCCTTGTTCTTTTGCATGTGGTTGTGAAAACTGAGCTAGTAAGTAGGTTAAGCAGAGTGGTTTTCAAAATGGCCTTGTTGTTGTCACTGTGGCACATGACTTAAATGCCAGTGGCCAACTTCTCACACTAGACAGAGAGAAGTAGGTTCCTAAATCTTCCTTGAAAATGGAAGCTGGGTTTTGACATCACTAGGTGAATTCTTGAAATGCTAACACAATTTAGAATTTTCCTTGCTGTCATAATATTAATACTCTTTAACTTAAAGAATTTTTAGTGTGTGTACTTGGTCAGACTTTCTTACAAACAAAATGCTGGAGGCTGTTTCTGGGAGACATGCTGAGGTAGTCAGCTTTCCTGTGCTACTATGGCAGTAAAAGAATTTTTTTTTTCTAGCTAGATGCAATAACCTAGATGCAATAGTGTTTATTACACAGTGGAAATTCCCCCAAATTAAGAGTTTGATCTTGATGTACATTGGAACGTCAGGTATGTCCCTCAACACGTGCAAACATTTAGAACCTCACAAAGAGCTACAGCATCGTTACTCTCCAAGCTGTTTTCCTCTGACTCAGGCAGGGTAAAGGCTTCTGTGTTGCAATGTCTTTGCTTTAAAGTCCTGATGCTCTAACAGGTTGTGAGTGATAGGTTCATCCTGAGCTTGGTCTGGGTTCTTGACTCTGTCGGGGGCCTGCCTGGGGTTAAAACAAGGGACCAGGAAACTCTGGTACAGACTGCAAAGAAAATCCTTGCTGAGCTAGGAGAGCGGTGTCCGTTTCCTTGTTTCACAAATGAGAGCGTATAAAGTCTCTTAGATCTGACTTGCCTCTGGAGTGAGTCAGGCCTGGGTCTGTCTGTCTCATGCGGGTTGTAGCTGCAATTCATGGTGAGGTAACGAAGCTATGATGGTGATAACGCAGACTGTAAAAAAAGAATACATTTGGAGTAACACAAGAGATTTTTCTCCAAATTCTCTTTTCATGCAAAAGGGCATTCCTACTGTCTCTTTCTTGCACTATATACTGCGTAATATATAAAGACATACAGACATATCTGCTAAAACTTTGAAATTAATAAATAACTGATATCCTAAACCTTGAAATTAGTAACTCATCTTGCATGTCAGAATCTGAGCCCCTTTTGTGCGTGGCAACTTGAAAATTGACCCCGTTGCATTTTCTTCCACGTGACCAATTTTGTATGTACAAAATAGACGTTTGTACTGGTGCCATCCTAGGCCAGGCAACAGCAGGAAGCTGTCTGTGGTCATCTCGTCTTGCAGTGAGAGTGATGAAGTAACCTACTGAGCTTCTATTATAAAAAAAGGAGTCCTTTTTATTGCCAGAGCATGTGGGCTTAGTTAAATACAGTTTTTTAGTTATCAGTCTTTTGGGTTTTTTTACAAGGAATTTACTGGAATTAAAAAAAAAAAAAAGAAAAACCTTTCTGAGGTTTGCACTTAGACTTAATAGCAGTCCTACAGCAAATGTAAATTTAGGAAGGTGATGAAGCACACGGGGCATTTAGAGCAGAGAAAAAATGTTCTGTCTGTACCCTTTTCTTTGGCCCACCCTTCACATGCCAGTCATCAGGTGTAAAAGAACTCTATCTTTCTGCAGGTATATGGCCTGAAAAGTACTTCTGCTAAAACTAGTTCTCTGGTTTTGTGTAGATCTGCAGGGAAAGCTATGGTGTGACGGAGCAGAAGAACCTGATTGAAGATGGAGATAAAATTCTGGTGCAGAAGGACAATAGGTAAGTGGGGATGGAGTTGTGGTGAAGTCGGATGCAAAGCCACAGAAAACTTGGCTGAGGTGAAATGTGGGAGAGAATTAGAAGTCCCTGTCAACAAATTTTAAGTAGTTCAGAAGTTACTGATAAAAAGCAAGTTTTTGTCTTTCCACCAATGTTTGGGAAGGGTGTCCTGCACCCTTTTGGATGGACATCTTCCCTGTATATAGACCCTTCCCTTCATATAGACCCTTGGCAGTTTTCTCATGGTGAATAGAGATTGTGATGTGATTTTGGCCCTTGAAAGTTAATCTCCCTGATGCTTTAGAGAAGAACTGTACGTGGTCTAACAGAACTGAGCCTGGCAAAGTTGTTTATACTATTAATTCTGGACCCAGAAACGCTTTCCCTTGAGTATGCCTGGTGGAGGACCACCATCCCTGGTTAGAGCCATAAGGCCCTACTGTACAAAGATTCCTTTCTGTTTGACTGGACACCTGAGACTTATTACCAGCACAGCTAATGTTACCCCCCCCCCTTTTTTTTTTCCAAGCTGCTAAACTATTTTCTTCTCATAATCCTGTAATTGGATTTCTACAAATGCCTTTATTACTTGAAGGAACGTTCAAATTCTTTCTCTGCTGGCAAAACAGTGTGATGCAGTGACTAGTCAGCAGCATGGTTAGGGGCTTGTGCTAGGATTGCTGAAGACCTTGCTGGCAAGCCTGGAGATGAAGTCATTTCCTATTAATCTGATTATTTAAAAGAGTTCTGATTGTGTCTAAAGCCATTGCTGTAACAAAAGCTTTATCTGTGTTCTTACCTGCTTTATACCTCCTTAGCTACTTTACTGCTGCCCCAAAGGGTGCAATTCTACAGCTAAATAGCTGCCTCATGCAAAACCCATGTCTGTCTCCCCGCAAAGATGGGCTTCAGGTAAATAGAGGAGAGTTTAAGCTACACGTGTGACAGTGAAGTAAGGATGAAAATGCCAGTGACAGTACCCTTTAGGCTTTTAGGCTGGGCATGTACACTTGAGAGAAAAATGGCCATTTTTCTACTGTGTGCCATACTGGCCCAGAGGGAGGAACAAAGATTTTAGCTGAGCAAATGTTTGGGGAGAGCACCCAGGTTAGCTCCTGCAACTGTTTATTAAGTCAGGATAGGCAACAAGAGAAGAAAATCCTTAAGGAGAAAGGCTGGTCTGTGGCTGCGCCGGCTTAACACATTCCAGAATGCAACTGCTGCGTCTTGACCAGAGTTTTGAACTCAAGCTAACCTCTAAATCCAAGTCTAGACATGGCTGTCAATTCGTCCACCTCACAGTGCTTAATGACTTCCTCCAGCCCTACATTTAGAAGCCAGGGACCAATTTGTTGCCCTCCTGGCCTGAATAGTTTGCTGTGGGCATGTCTTTGGGCATTGCCCTTCCTACCTGAGGGACGTTCACTGGGAACTGAGCAATGCGCAGGATTGCTTTGACTGAAAAATGCCGAGTAGGAAATGCCTGTGTTTTCCCTTTCTCCTTTGGAGTTCATATTGGGTGTCACAGTATAAAATGTTCTTGATAAAGGGTTCGTGACCGTAATAGCCAGAAAGGTATTAAGCAACAGTTAAGTGCTTAATCAGCTTGGATTTCCCTAATGCTCACGTGACTATCGGGAAAATGACAATAAAACAAATGTGCTGCAAGATAACTCCCCCTTTGCTATACAATTTCTATTCCAAGTTTTCATATTTGTCAGTCTGCTTCCTTATTTTTCTTTTTACTTTCTCACCCATCCCTTGCTGCTTTTACATAGCACATGCATTGAGAATTCCTCCACCAAAAGGTCAAAATATTTCTTTCAGTTGTGACTTCCTCGGTGAGAGATTGAGATACCGGATTCTGTGGTGTTCCCTCATCATCCTCCGAGCGCAGGTGTGAGCTGCCCTCGAATGTCAGGCAAAAATGACACCTCCACCCACACATAGTAGTTTCGTCTCCCAGTTTGCCACATTGGCTGGTGCATTATTGTTGGGTGTTAAAATATTTCCCCCTGACACTTTTTTTTTATTTTTAAGACATTGCATAAATAAAACTCATGTTGCACTCAGGTCATGGTGCTTTGAGAATAGGAAAGAGTAGAATAAAGATGCTTAACCTCCTAACAAAATCCAGAGACGAAGTTTGGCCAGGACCTGCCTCAAGTTTCTTGCCAATGAACAACAGAATGTTGTTTTTATTTTATTGCTGTTCTTGGGACACCTTGAAGCAAAACAGGGTTGTCATTCTCCTTGTCATTCGCCATGTACTCCAGATGCACAAGCCCTGTACTTAACCAGAGTGTGAAGGCTGAAGAGGAGGTTTCTGTAGTTTCTAAGACTATTTTCTTGCTCTGTGGTGAGGGGTGTTTCTTGATTTCTTTTGGCAGCTTTCTCCTTGGGGCCAGGAGGGAGGGAATTGGCCATGCGGTTTTGGATCACAGCTTTTCAGAGCGGGATTTTCTCAGTCTGCCTTTAGGCTCCAGCTTTGGTTTTGGAAGTACTGAACCAACCTCTCTGCGGGCCACAGGTTGCATAGGGAAGAGGGCTCTGTTCCTGCTCTTGGTGTCATTCCGGCTCCCTCCTGGCCCCGTGGGCAACTGCACACAAAGCCACTGGGTGGGTGCACTGGTAGCATAGAGCCTGGGCTGCTGGGGGACCTCACGGACTGCCACGGCCGGGGAATAAGCAGACGCAGGGTGGTACTTGCTGTGCCTAATGCCTTGTCTGTATTGCAGTGACTCAGCTGAGCGAGAGGAGGGCAGTGGGTGGAACCTGTTGGAGACTCCTGTTTGCAAGACCCTGTTACAGGCAGAAACAGGCAAACTTAGCAGTGCTGCTGCTCAGGCATATGACTAAAAGTGCTTTCCTTTGCCTGCTCTCTCTCGATGCACTAGGGAAGAATTTGTTGAAGCCTACGTAAATTACATCTTCAACTTCTCCATCCATGAGTGGTACACGGCCTTTGCCACTGGCTTCCTGAAAGTGTGTGGTGGGAAAGTCCTGGAACTCTTCCAGCCCACAGAGCTCAGGGCCATGATAGTTGGAAACAGTAACTACAACTGGGAGGAATTGGAGGAGGTAAAGCTTCCCTCTTGTCATATTTTTCTTTCACAAGTACCAGCATTGCACAGTTACATGAGGTGGGCACAAGCCTGGGACGTGAGGTGTGATAAGCCACGGATGTGTTTTTATGCTCCTTGTACACCTTGCCATCATTCACATGAAAAAAATTCTTATTGGGCTGTCCTGAGGAAATTCGGGATGAGAAAGGACAAGGGACAAGGACTTCCATCTGCTAGTTTTAGAGATGAAACCTAAGACTGAAAGGAAGAGACGGTCAGTCTTCACCTCCAGTAAAACTCGCTCCACTGCACAAGGGCAAAAAGTACACAGCCAAGGGTTCAGAGGGGGGTCTGGACACAGAGAGTTGTATCCTCTCAGAATGCGTAGATGAGCAAGTTTCCTGCTCTGTCTCAGCCAGGGCAGTAGAAGGGGCTTTGCGGTGCAGGACACAGGATCCTGTTGAGGAGTCCAGCCTGGGCACAGGTACTCCAGGATTCCTCCTGACACATGTAATTAGCTGCATAGCCGGAAGCCTAATGCCTGCCTTCCGCGTATGACCAGGAGCCCCCTTTGCTGGGTCTGTTGCCCGTGACCCATCCTGTGCTCCGCTTGCTGACTGTCAGACATCAGCCTGATGTCAGATACCAGCAGAGATCAGGTCTGGGTTCTGCTTAGTCTTTCGCTTTCTAGTGCCAGGTGAAATAACGTGACTTTTTGGTTCTTAACAGAGTGCTGTCTATAAGGGAGACTACACCGCGACACACCCAACTGTGAGAATGTTTTGGGAAACCTTTCACGCGTTTCCCTTGGAAAAGAAGAAGAAATTTCTCTGTAAGTACTGAGTGTCTTTTGCCCCAAAGGAACGAGCAGGCAGCTAGTTGTCCTCCGTGTTTGAGTGGAAAAAGTGGCTCAGCCAGAAATTAGCAGCTGTGTAGAGGGGGTCCTGGGTCACAGCAGAGGCTTTTGTGGGTAACTCCCCCCCACCTCCCAAACTGCCGTGGCGGGGGGAGTACGCAAGGGTCACGCGTGGGGGCATGATGGGGAGCAGCAAGGAGGAACCAGCCCAGGTCCCTGGGAGGGGTGGCTGGAACCCCTCTGCCCCTCCCAGGGCTGTGCCCCTGCCGTGGGCATCCAGCAGCCCTGGGTTTGCTCCTTTTTATCCTGCCTGGGCATGAGGGAGCCTTTAAGGGAAGGGGTTGCTGTGGGCCGCTTTAGTTGCTCACCTGCAGACCCAGCAAGGGCCTTGCTGCTCGCCTCTGCTCTCCTGCACCTCGGCGAGCCCGGCCATGCCCCACACGGGGCTCGGGCTGGGTCCCACGGTGCGGGTGGGGATGGAGTTTGCCTTCAGGCACAGCCCTGGGTGCGAGGTGGCCTCCCCTACCTGTCCCAACCTTCCTCCCTCCGCTTCTCCCAGTGTTTCTGACGGGCAGCGACCGCATTCCCATCTACGGCATGTCCAGCCTGCGCATCGTCATCCAGTCCACCGCCAGCGGGGAACAGTACCTGCCCGTGGCCCACACCTGCTACAACCTCCTGGACCTGCCCAAGTACAGCACCAAGGAGATCCTCAGCGCCCGCCTGGTGCAAGCCATCGATCACTACGAGGGCTTTAGCTTGGCTTGACCCCTGTGGGAGAAGCACAGCTGCCTGGGTACGGAGGAAGAACAGGATGGGCTTGGCTTTATTTTTGTAAAAGGGAATGGATCAGAACATTTGGGGGGGGAATGTAATTAATAATAATAGATGGACATGATGCAGTCTCAGCCTGATGCTGCCAGCATTTTGTGGGGCTTCAGCAGGGAAAGGCTCTTGCTGTGACTTTTCTTATCTACAGAACAAAATCAGTTCGGGGGCTTTTATTGTTTCCCCTCCAACTTGATGTCACTGCCCTCCTAGCAACGCCTTGTAGTTTGCTTTTATTGCCCCTACACACACACACACACACACGCGCGCGCTTACCTGCTGTTCTAATCCAGTTTAAGTATTTCGATGTTCCTTGCATTTAGGCTGTGGTGGAAATGGAGGATGAAATAGTGATCGCCTTTTATGAAAACTTGTGATTTCCCCTTGCCACCCCCCCTTTCAAATGCAAGCTGGTTCTTGCTTTGCGTGGAGAAACCCCCTCTGCCCTTTGGTCCGTGGTGGATGGTGCTGGGCCGGGCCATCACTTGGGACCCCAGGGCGGTACGTTAGTAATGCTGTGTGTGTGTGTGGTTTGGTTTTTTCCCCCCCACCAGGCTGTCTCGGGGAGAATACGCTGGGTTGGGGGGGGAATGGGGTGGCTTCTTTTTTTCCTCACTTGTCTTGAATTTTGTTCCCAAGCAATGGCTTCTCAAAGAAGCCTCAGACTCCTCTGGAGCAGGGTTTGTGGTCAGGCTTGTGGACGGACAGACCCCGCCTGCAGTAGCGGGTTCCTCGAATTGCATCGCTCTCGACTCGCAGTGCGCTCTCTCGGCAAGCTGACAAGTTGGCTGGGTGGGCTTTGCCCAGCCCTGTGTTCCCAGCCCGGCGGCCCGCGGTGAGGTGGCTGCTCCGCCACCGCCGCCCTTCTCCAGTGGAATCGCGCGTGGGAGCTGTCTGCAAGCTCTCCAGTCTCACTAGGTCAGAGGAAAGAAAGGAGGACGGGCTCCACGTTGGAGGGATAGCCCTCTGCGTGGAGAGGGGTTCTGTTTTGGCAGGTAGGGTTGTGTAGCATTTGCTGGGTGAGAGGAGGAGCCCTTTCCCTTGACAGCCGATTTCCTGGGGGCCCTCAAGGACAATCTCCACGAATTAGACAAAATGGACGTTAGGCCTGGAGTAGGCAAAATCATTACCTAACTTGCCTTTATCTGCTTTCCCTCGGTCTCACCTCCCTGTTAAATGAAGCTTGAATGATTTCCCCCTCCTGGCCCCTTTTTTCAGGTCTCGATGTAAATCTCATTTTAAGCCTAGGGTGGTTTTGACATTGACTTGTTATTAGGAGATGACAGTATTTATGCACCGTGTTCAATAGTCAGTATTGAACTTTGCACCTCGTAAGAAAAGGTTTTAGGCTTCTGGGTTTTTTTAAGACAAACTGTGGGCTACGCTGAGAGCCCTCCAGCCTCTTTCTAAAGCAGCATTAAAGACAAAGATACGACTCTATCAAATGTTTATTTTCGATGTGTGTGTACATAGTACAGTATTATGCAATAAATCTGATGTTTCATTCGGAGTGGCTGCCTCTGTGTCAGGGAACGCGCTGTAGCTCTGAGCAGCCTGGCCATCCCAGGGCTGTGCTGGTCCATTGCCACTGGTGGCAACTGGGCAGAAGCGCTGGGCACATACCAGGAATAACAACTACTGTCTTCGCACAGTGAGTAAAAGATGCTTTAATTTCACTGTCTTTAACATAAACATCCACTGTTCGACTGTTTACTCAGGTGTAAACAGAATAAAACCAATGCAACTTGTAAGAATGACAAATTTTTCCTCTGTCTTACTCTTGCAATCTTATTTTGTCCACAACCTGTTCATCATCATCGTCATTTAAATAAACTGCAATGATTTATTATACCACCCTGTGGTAACACAGACGTGTGTGTCTGAAATGGCCCCGGGGGCCTACAGCAGACAGTTTGTTCTCAGGACATGGAAACAGGTTGTCTTACACTAAACAGCTTATTTATAGCACAGAAAGGACATTTTTGTACAGTACTTCACACCTTTTAAAAACACAGCCTTGCATTCAATCCTCTCCCATCAATAGCTGGTGACGGTGGCACAGACAAACCGGCACGCACACAAACCGCAGAGGTGTTGCTTGGGATGACTTGGAGGAGGGCGGTGGGGAAGCCAAATCACCACAGAAGATGACATTTTGGTGCTCGGGGCTTGGAGCCCTCCTCCGGTGCAGGCCTGCGAGAGGGGAGGGATGGGATCTGCACTCCCAGGACAAAGTTGAGCATTTGTTCCCATCCTTCCAAGACTGGGATTTTAAAAGTTCACTTCTCTCCAAGAGTCTCTTAGCCATTCCCTTTGCACCTAGGCTGATGCTGAGGGTGTTTTTTTTTTTTTCTTTTCCTCCACTTTTTTTGGCACAGGGAAAGACTTGAACAGTTTAAAGAGAGAGGGGGCTAGGTGTGAGGTTTTTTTTTTCTTTTAATGTACAATCTCAGTTAACAGGTTTTGTTACTCTTATTCTGATGTGTTCAAAAATATAAACTCTCTAAAGTGCATAATTGTACTTACATTTCATATAAACTATCTGAAAATCTAGCAATATACCATGTAAACAGCGGTAACTAAGCATCAGAAAATGCTACAATCTCATCAGTTTAAAAATAAAATGGACTGTTCCCTACATATCATTTATCAAGATTTGTCAGGGGCAAAACCCAGCAAAACAGATAATTTATCAGTACACAGTGCAAACAGGCTTTTAAAAATAAGCAGAGAAAACAGACTCTGGGGAAGCCTTGGCCCACTGGAAAAATGTATGCCTACGAAAAAGGGCAGAAACTGCTTCTCTTGTCCACATTCTGATGTCCAGGCCCAGATTCAGCAAAGCACCCAAGCTTTAGTCCATCGCCACCCAGCAGAGTCCCCAGGGCAGACCAACTCCAGGCACCACCCAGGGCCTGGCTTTGCTGAACCAGGCCTGACCAATGCAAAACTCAGCCTGCGCTAAGGACATTTGGGTAACCCAACATCCTTCCTCAGCCCACGCTTCTGCTAGCAGAGCAACACCGGTGCATTCCTGGACTCGCCGCCTTTCGCTCCTGCAGGCACCGTCTGTTTGACACGAGCACCTGAATCCGGTGTCCCAGGACTTTCTTTTCTGAAAACTATAAACAAATTTGAATTGTCAAAACCTGCACCTGAGACAGGGGCCCTTTCCGCAGGCAGAGCACGGCTCTAGGCTGTCGGGTCCCTGCCGTCTCCTCTGCGCTGGCACACCGCCTACACGCACCGGGAAGGAAAGACCGTCCTCTGTTGCCCTCATCGCTGCAGCCCACAGAGCCTGGCAGTGTACATAAAAACCCCCAAATTTAGACACCCCCATGGACTGTTCAGCTTAGACTCTTATGTTTGTATTAGACGATGAAGCACTAATGGAGTCGGTCTTCCAGGTATCTTCCAGATACTTGGCACCAGACGTTTAACCGACAAGCTACCAAAATCCCAAGGGATTCTGACTTAAAGCTTTTAAAACCTCTTTTCTTCCTAGTTGCCTAAACGTGGGTCATACTGTTACAGCAGCACCTTCCAAGTGGAACAAACCGGCACAAACCTCACTGCACAGCTCATTTTCTTTGCTCTCCCAAACAGATGAAGGTAGTTTCTCCTACTTCAGTCAAATTGGCCATCAAAAAAAGCAGAAAGAAAACCCAACTCAAGCCTGGGCAAAACTGTAACTCACACCAGCTCTGGGTGACGACCAGGAGATTCTTACAGCATTTCTCTAGAGCAACAGAAGATGCTGGACTCCAAACAGTCAGGTTAAAAGTGAGCAAATCTTTGCTGTAGCTACAAGAGAACAGTCTTGGTGCTACCTGACCTGTGCCTTCCCGTCAGATCAGGGCACTAGTCTGTTAAACTAAAGGAGAAGCTATTTGATGATTTAATCACTATTCATCCTACTTTGTCTCTTGCTACGATATCCCAGGAAAAAAAAAGAACAGCATGGCTGGCTTGATATTCTAAGTATTACAGGATCTGTAAGCAAATCAAAACAGAAGGATCCCTTCAGTGCAGTCACTGAGTGCAGCGTCACGTCTTCTACACTGGCAAACTCCATTTCGGGCATCAGGCCTGGAGAAAGAGTGGGCAACAGCAAGTGCAGAGGGTGATGGAAAGGCACCTTTCCCCCCCTCCCACCTCTGGGAATGGCCCTTCAGTTCCCAGGGAGCTCCTCAGCTCTCCCCAGCCAGGCTCCCACTGCATCCACGTCATGCATTTGTCCATTTGGTGCTCTCTCCTCTTGGTTTACTGGCAAAAACAATCTCCTCTTTTACATGATCTTGGAGCTTATATCTCTTTTACTGATCAGAACCTCCAGCAGCCTCAGCTTGGCCTTAACCTGCTTGTATTCATTGTATTCTTCGGCCATAGGAGTGCGGTCTTCTTTCTGCACGTTCCTGGTGGGAGTGAAAGCAGATGATGAGGATTTCTGTAACAAGACGTCTTCCCTCAGCAGCCTCCCTCCATCACCCAACAAGACCTACAAAGCAGCTTCTCTGCTCCACTCCCCATCGGGGAACAAGACCAAAACTTTTGTCCTTTGAGAAGAGGAAAAATAAAAAACAGAGGGGCAAACAAAGGGCTCCAACAAAGCGAGGGACACTTGCATATTGAGGCTGAACACAATCCCATGGTTCTAAATGCAAAACCTTATTTGAAGCATACTCTGCTTCTCTGGAATTGCCAGCCTCTACACAACAGCTGAAAAACATTTCAGGAGCCATCTGAATGTCAGCCTGCTAGCAGGGCAAAATAAAATACAGCTTCTCCTGGCTTGGCACCACATCACTTACATGAACAGGCTCACTTGCGAAAAGGAAGATGGTATCTGATCGGATTTCTCTTAGCGTACATGAAACTTTAAATTTTCCACTGATTTTACAAGAACCTCTAAGGATGATGGCTAGTGGCAAGAAACTCACAAGATAATTTAAGAGTGTAAGTATATCAAAACACTCTATCAAGCTCATTAATGAGGGACATTTTCTGCCCAATAAACAATAAACCCAGCTGCACTAAAGCAGAAATACTCGTTAAACTAGCGTCTGAATACCTTACAGACAAGCAAGAATAGGACAGAAATCTAAACATACATCCTTAGGAAAAAAACCCAATTATTCTATCACTGAGAAACTCTTCCACCATTCCGTTAAGCTGTGCTAGAGGCAGCAGGGTTTTCACAATCTGTACTTTTGCTTCCCACTGCTCGTCCTAAGACAAAGTTTTCAAAGAGGCTGTGGGCCCTGAACTTTGTGTGTGTGTGTGTGTGGTTAGTAATTCATTTTAATGGGCAACTGTAAGGAATGTGGGTAAAACAGTGATGATGATGAAGAAATATGTACTAGTGAATTCAGGTAACTTTCTGTATTTGGAGGTCTTTGCAGATACCAAGCAGATTAAAAGTAGCTGATGGACAGAGAGAGAGATGAGAAATTATTACCTTCCATTTTGCCGGAAAAAATTATCTTCAAAGTCTCTCAATTTTTTTCTGATTCGCTTTTTCTCTTCCCTGACTTCTTGGAGCTGCTCTAATAGTTCAGGGCTGTTGGGTTTAAATATAAACAAGATTATACATATGTACAGAGTTATAACAGGTAACACACAGTACATCTACAAATGTATGGTTGTACGTATGCCAAGCAATGGAGCTGCTCCTGCAACCTGACGTTACTTGCAACAAAAAGCTCTCTCTGAATGTAGTTCAGCCAAGCGATCATACACTTCAGCTGAAACCTCAAAGGAGGTCAAGTGTGCACTTCACAACTCACCACTAACTTCGGTGAAGCTTACTTGCTGAAGATGGGTCTGGTTTTGGTGACTTTTATAGGACCAAGATTCAATGGTCACAACTTAAGGCTACCACCTACGTGCGTTTGCATCAGACCTAGCTGCTTGAAACTAGCAAAGCTAGTTCAACTTGACCTCTCCAAAACCTGAAAAACTTTGTAGAGTACCGGGTTGTTTGCATGATAAAAGCTTGCCACTGGTGAAGCGGCACCTCTATTTAATGCTAGAATCCAAAGATGCAGAAGTCAAATATCAGTACCAAGACAAGGTAGTTTCTTCCCAAACCCTTTCATATGAGGGTCTATTACATTTAAAAATAAAGCACAAAAACTTCTGACTCACATCATAAATGGAAAAAAAAAAATCTAGACACTTTTCTGACAAATAAAATGCTATCTTCGCAAGAAATAACTTTTTAAGTTGCCTGTGAATTCAACATACATGGATGCTGCATGGAGATTTGAAAGCCCCATATCCTGATTGCTCCTAGCTGGCATCTTCTCATCCACTGGGGAAACAAAGCCGTCAGCATCATCTTCTAGTTGATCCAAGAAGCTACGCACGTTGAAATCTGTTTTCATGGTAATTGTGAAATCTGGCTTCACATTGCTGTCCTCCTCGGACCCCTCCTCTTCCTCCTATGGAGAGGGACAGAGCAGCCCCGTAACAGAATAGGTTACTGCTTCCCTTCTCAGAAAGCGGTACCTCCTTTCACCACATGCACTGGGGAACAGGTACGGAAAGAAGTGGATAGGCAGAGCAAGCACTTTCATTGCCAAGCAATACAGGACACCAGAAGAAGACAACCTGTACCCAAAGCACGTCAGAGAAACTGCGACCACCAACTCAGATTGGTTAAGGAGACCCAGGGCAACAAAACTGAGCAAAAAAAATACCTGGGGTTCTTCACAACCTGTTGCTTTGTCTAATTTATGTATTCTGAGGCAAATAAAACCACTTACAGTCATTATGCGTACGGTCTAAAGCATACCAGCCATCCTCTACATTTCCTTCCAAATACATCTGGCAGCATACAGCCAGCCAGGTTAAAACACAAAATATCTCTCAATAGATGCAGCTCAGCAGCTCTCTCGAATGGCTGAAGTCAAGACCTGAAATGCTCGTACAGCGATATCAGTGAGCTCACGTTGGTCTTGCAATGGCCCAAATGTGGCATATGATTGACTGTAAGAGGACTGCTGTGGCTAACTCGTTCCCAACATCACCTCTGTTACCATTTAGCTGGAATACACTAAAAATTGGAGTGGAAACACTCTGCCAAGCACGATTCCCCCCAAGTACACTGATGAATTGGTTGTGTTCAGGTTTCTTTTTTGCAGAATTTATAGGCAGTAAATTTGAAAGTCTCTGCTACAGTTGGCACTTGCTAATTCATAGTGTTCTCAAAGGTAGGGCTTGTCCTGTGACACCGTGCAGAAACCATCTGGATTATCAGGGAAGAGAGCCCAGTTTTCTCTTACAGAGACATTTCTAGAAGGCAGTTTTCAACCTCAATATAAGGCATGAGCATTGGAGGAAGGTAATAAATGCCAGCATGGACAGTAAGCCTCTTAAGTATGTATGTGTGTGTCTGTATATGTATTTCTTTTACAATCATGTAACTCTAGCCAGAAAGGATCTAAGCCCATGCATATATTTAAAACCTTTTGAGGGCTAATATCGCTGAATTCTTCAAGCGTATGCAAACATATATTGCTGCACTGGGATCAAAAGAAGCCATTTTCTTTACTTTTTTTTCACATGATTTGTTGTGAATAGTTCAATTATTCCTAAGAGATTGCTCCCATATTTCAAGCAAAAAGGCAGAAAGTAACACTAGGACCTGGCATAGTCCCATTAAATCCTCAACATCAGTAATTTATAAACGCATACATTTACGTGAAGTCAGAGTTTGCTCAGTTTTCTTTTTATATTAAAGTTCTAGGCCATGAAAATGCAATGCAAAGCCACAGGGTGAGAATTACAACCAAGATGGAGGCTTGAGGATGAGAAAAAGATTAGCTGGGGAGAAGTTTTGAGTAATAATAATAAAAGATCCAGGGAAATCTGAATACATCTCAGGAAAATCTGCAGGGAACTTGTGACAGTTAAAGCAATATGTGATTATTTACGACCATTTCTCTAGATGTAAATGATACAGTTTAAACGGAAGGCATAAACCAGCAGTCACATACTGTCCTTGAACCCGGCAAACAACTTCAGGCTGGGCTGGGGAGGGCAGACCATCGCTCACTGCCATTTACCAGGCCCCCAGCACGCCGTCCTGCCCTGCCAGCTACGGGCGACCAGGACTGAAGCAGGAGAACGCCGACCCCGCTGTGCACAGAGGAGGATTTGCTACGTCCATCTAAGCGGTAAAAATGGTAGGCTTTATTTTAGGGGAATCTCTCGGACACCAAAGGAGGAGCTCCCGTGCCCTTTCCTGGGAGAGCAAGTTGCTTCTGGATTCCCCTTCTGGAGAGAAAGGAAAGGGACAATTTTTTGGCCCAAGCCAGCAAGGATTACTCTGGCCCAGAGCTCAGGAGCGAGCCTCCTGCCAATGGAGGCCCAGGGGAGGAAAAGAAAGCGTAAAAATTTTACTTGTTTAGACCTCAGTGCCAAAACACTACATCTGGCTGTCGTAAGACCTCTTAAAGCATTTTGCTATTTAAAACGACAGAGAATTAAAAGGATTCTTGAATGGAAATGGCCATCTAAGGCCTTCGCTTTACACAAGTCTCGCATGGGAATCTTACTTTAAGCCTGCACTGGCATTTACACCTCAAACCAGAATGATCCTCCTTGAGCAGGTCCATTTGGCTTGCACCTGCTCGGATCTTTAGGCAATCATGAGGCATTTAAATTTTCCAGATACACAAATGTAAAAAAAAATGATTTTTCCAATACAGACAATATTCAAGATATTGTACCCAAATGTTTGGCAAGCCTTCACCTCAAATCACCTTTCAAGCTTTTATCCAAATCTCCCAAATGCTTAAAAAAACCAAACAACCCCAAATCAAAAAAAACCCGACAGTGTCAGGGGCCTGTCAGGACAGGCAGTGCTCTGCCCACAGTGGACCTATGCAGGGGGTAAATTTTGGGGTCTCTTGGCAATCTCTGCAGTTCAGTGCAAAGCTGCCATGTGCAGCTTCACAGGGCCCCCTTTAAGCGTTAACGGGCTTAAGGCTGTCACCCTGATCTGCAGTCAGAAACCCCTCAAGGTCTGCATTCCCTGCGGGACACTGCGGAGCTGCTGCGATGCCACCCCATAACCACCGTAATGGACAGCTGAAAGTTTTGACTCTGGGTGCAAGCCTAGGTGTAAAATAGAGGACTCAGTAAAAGAAAAAAACCAAAATCAAACAGAAATAGCCCCCATCAGATCACTATCGCAGATCTGATCCAGCCGTTATCTAGAAATACTGAGACCTCAGTGATGATTAACCAGTCTCCAAACAGCAGCCTAACACCTTCAGTCTGCAATCTGGTTTTAATCAACATGTACCTCGAACAGTCCATTAATATACCATCTACTGTAACTGCCTAATAATCAAATCACCTGGGATGTCTAGGTCTGCAGTATTCACACCAGTAACCGAACTCTGGCTGGATAACGGATAAATGACCCAAGGGTGCCGAAGCACTTTCTTCCCCCGTGACACTGCAAAGGTAATGGAAGCAAGCCAGGGCCCAGCTCCGCGCTGCGTGTCCTGCTCAGCCGCTGGACTTCCCTTCTTCTCAGGGGAAGGCGACCCAACATCGCAACAGTCTTCACCACCAAGAATTACTACCCCACCGCAGCACGAGAAACACGCACAACAATCCTGCCATCCAAATCTGACCAAGCGTTAGCTAGCAGAACCGAGTTGTTCTTACTTCCATCCTCATGCGACTTGGTTAGAAATACCCTTCACAAGGTGGTGACAAAGCCCTGGATAAAATAAGCACGTGAATGGGAGGAGGTAAGGATCCTGTAAGTGCCCCGGTTGGCTCCACGTGCGAGTGTTAGTTTTGTGAGAGCTCATTCCTGCCACGGTGCTGTGTGCAAGCCACAGAGCTTTGGAGTGAGAGAAACTACCGCAAAATCAGTTAGTGTCATTAAAAAGAAAGGAGGAACGCCAGAAAAAGCAAGGTACAAAGGTAATTGGGGTTTTTTTGTGTGGTTTTTTTTTTTTTTAAAAAGCAAAATAAAACATATTATGTGCAGATGGAAGGGGAAGGAGAAGCATGGGAAAGAATGCAAAGCCAAGGAAATACTGTAGTCTTATCTACAACAAGGGAAGAATTTGATCAGAACTGGCGAGGCTTAAAGCAGCTACTGATTTTTCAGGAGGACACTGCAAAAAAGTCAACACTGATGGAAAAAAAAATAATCAATCAATCATTCTCTTTCATTGGTATAAGGGAAAAATTGATGCAAACTGAGCAATTAGTTAGCAGCTGGAGGTCTTCACCTTTATCTCCTTGAAGAAGGAAGCTGTTTCGCCCTCGATAATTGGCTGCAGCAAAGGGCTTCTCCGCTTGCTGGAAGGGGAACCCTGTGACAGGTGTTAACAAGTATGTTACATTTATGAACCCCTTTCTCCTCCACCACCTGCTCTCAGCTCATTCTCACCCACACATTCACTCTCAGCTCATCGCTGGACCATCAGGAGAAATCTATTTCTTGAAGAAAAACATGCCTGGCAAACCTCCTGAACCTTGGGCTGTTTTCTCTCAGGATGTTGCTTAGCAAGGGACATCACTGCCAAACACTTCTAAGAAAAAAGCTTGGATGCTGGACTACTAGCTGGGCAGGAACAACCAAGTAAAGGCTGCAAGAAAATAATCCCCAGCTTGGGGCTCATACACACACACATGATTTGGTTGGCTCTCTAGAGCTGCAGTGTAAGCCCAGCTAGACTCTCCAGGTTTGCTTTCTAGGAGCTTCATTTCCCACTGAAGTGCCTAACGACGCAGAAATGGATTTTCACATGTATCCTGCCTCTGCACGAGCCTTTCGCTGTTCTCCCTCAAGGGGCTGGGGAAAGCCAGTCTTATCTCTCCTCTGCTGTGCAATTTCAGTTTTGTGTCTAAAGGGGACCTGAGCTCTCTTTTGAGAGCTTTGCATTAAACTGCCCATGCACAGCTACAGGGTTTCTTCCTTCTTGAATACCAGCACCGTCTTCACAGCACACCTTTTGGGGAGTATTTTGCATATTCAAGGAGGAACAGCTTTTTGTTTTGTTTAAAATACAGGACCACCTCCCAGTGTTTGCAGAAAACCACCCCACTTCTCAGTGTGACTGCACTGAGTAATGCTGTGCCAGTCCATTCACTTCACTGGCGGTCTGCGACAAGCGGCCAGGACGTGAGCGCTGCTTGGGAACAGCAAAAAATAGAAAAGGATCATACATGACAGACAAGAGTAAACAGGAACCATGATAAACCAATTCTCTTTCCATAGACAAGCTAAAAGTATTCTGTGTGTTATTTTTTAGATATAATGATTTTTAAAAAGTGGCCTACACAAGTTGTCTAAAATTAGAGAGTGCCTTTGCTTCCTAGAGGGGTGGCACTGGATTCCTTGCTGGTGGCAGTGCCTCCTTGCCAAAGCACCACCTCAAATGAGGGAATATCCATCACTTGCAGGATCTCTTTAACACAAATGAAGTGTCAGGAGACTGTTGGCCCTTTCTCTCAGCCAAAACAACTGGTATCTCCTGCAGGACCCACGCAAGTCTGTGCTCCTGACATACAACCCTGTGTAATCAAGCAGCATGGAAGACCTACAGCTCAGTGGGGGTTGGCAGGAAAGGTAAGTGAGGCTGTAGCCAAACACAAGACGATGAAATAACAGCAGCAGCCCAATGGAAAGAGGAGAAACAATGCAAGGTGAGATGCGCCTCATGGCTCATGGATGGGCACTAGAGTCCCTTGACCAGCTTTGCCCGACTTCAGTACACGGCGTGTCATTGATTCACTCGTTTGCTTGGTCTTTGAGTGGTAAGGGAGATTGGGACTTGGCCTTAGTGACTGTGTTGTACACAAAAGTGTGGTGATCCCTGCTTCCTCAGCTTCAAATCGAAGAAATAAACCCCAAAAGAATGCTCTACTCACAATGATGGGGATGGTGTTGGCTCTGGAGAGAATCTGCTTGACCAAGCGATACCTGTCATACAATGGCTTCATCACCTGTCGTTCATTTTTGGTAACCTGAAAAGGAAAAAGAAGCGAGATCCAGGAAGCCTGCAGCAGATACTCCACTCTATAACGCACATGCCTGTGATCACCATTAGTCAGAGGAGGCTTGAAGGGAATTTCATGAGGATGACAGGTTAGCAGCATTAACCTTGAAACCTGAAAATTCCAGCTCATGTACGTCACTGCATATCCTCTCCCAGGTGCCAGATGAAGCAGCACCCAAGCTGTGGGGTGTCTTGTAATGTGGCTGTACGAGATAGGTGGTTTAAATGACCAACTTAGGTATCATATGTCCACAGCACAAAATGACCCATAGAGGCAACAGTCTGTGCTTGTAATCACGTCTACCGTTGTAAGGCACAACATGAGGTTTCCCACCCTTATTCTTGTGGCTGGCACCTCAGAGGCAGTGTTTATGACCCACGAAAAGAGAAGGGAGCTGCAATGACTGGATACTGCAACGTGAGGAGACTTTCCCAGGGTAGGTTAAACTACAGATTTCACAAAAGCTGACTTTCCGGCTTTGCTATTCTATCTATAAATCCTAATTTCCTGTCCAAGCCAGCAGTTTTGCATCTTTTTAAGCCCCTAACCTTGCCCTCCACCCCTTCTCCCAGCAACCTCACTAGGGAGAAGTTACCCCAGAGCTGAGAAGGGATGAAGATGCCAGGGCTGTCTGGCACAGAGAAGACCAAACAGTGCTGTAACACCCGCCCCAAGCCTTCCTTACATTGCTCTGTCCCTAACTCCACACTCCTCCTAGCTGCATGTCGCGTTCCCTCCTCAGTTTGAGAGTCGTACAAACTGCGAGTGTCATTTCTGTTTCTCTTTCAAATCCCAGCTAAGCTGAAAATCTCAGTAATACTGACAGCGCAGAAGGGAAGACCTAACAGACGGTAGCTAGCATGGGAAAGCAAAGGTCTGTCCAACAAAGTACTAGTTGTGAGGAAGCTGGGTTTTATTTCTTCAATGTTTTGTTACAGCAGGGTTAGAAAATACTCAGCAGAACCAACTTGATCATCATCTTTGTATTCAGCTTTGTATGACCCGCATCCTATGGCTGTCCTTCCATTAGATCTTTTTGTCTAACTTTAGATTACAAAGCTCTTATGAGAGGAAGCTTTAACTGATTCCGATGTCATGCCTATCTTCTGCAAGGCTTTTTACTGCTGCTAATCACCAGAGCATCTGAATAGCTGCCATATAAAAATCAAATTCAACAGTGTAAACCCTAGGGAGCTTTGTGCAGTCTCCCCCTTTCTACAAGAGAAATAGGAGGAAAGGGAATACAGCTTGAGACAAGGAGGAAATTTTAAAATGAACTGTCTTTTTTTGTCTGCAGTTGCCTTTCACTGGAGTAAGCTTTCACATCCTCCTTGCAGAGCAAGACAGGGTGTTGGTTTGCAAGGGGAAGAAGAGCTCTTAATATTGCCAAGAGTGGGACCAGCAGGGATGAACTCTAAGAATCCGGAGGTAGCATCTTTCTCCTGATAACAAAGCCTGTTCCCTGTGTTGGGGGCAGATGAGTAGGGAGGAAGAAGAAGGAAGACCTTTTTATTCCTTTCTGGGTTCAGTGCAAACACGCCCAAGCCTGATAAGGGCCATACAGATGGGCAGTCTGAGCTCTAGGGCCGGCATGTCCCACAGCTCCAAAGCACAGCTGGGCTCCAATACCCCACAGCCTCAAGCGGGCTGCGTGCTGAGTAGGTGTGGATTAGAGGGATGTGAGCAGTATCAACTCACTCAGCCCTCTCTGTATTGAGTTTTGGGTTGATGTGTCTGCATTCGATCACACTGGCATGCAAGTTGCCTCCAACTTTGGACGTTTCTCTGCAATCAATCAAGCATACAACTGGAGAAACTGGGTAGCCTATATATATTATTCCTAGCTTTACTAGGTTAGCAGTTACTAGAACAGGAGGCACAGCCCTACTGTTGGCAAAAAAAACCCAGAAGAGACTATGCTGAGGCTTATACTGAGGCTGAGAACCAAATTTTCAATCAACAACATTTCCAAGTCAATAAATAGCACTGTTCTGTAAAGAAAAATAAACATAAGCATTGGAATTGGCAAAAAAAAAATCTTTAGGTATGTTGAAGAATGGAAAAAATAAACTACACGCTTCAGTGTCTGAATATCAATATGGAAGAACACAGAGAATTAATTTAGGCATTGGAAGTGTATGGGGCCTGAGTCAGCCCTGCGGACTTACACCAGCACACTTAACAGAAAGCAGATTCTGAAAGAAAACGTTTAGCACATGGGCAAGCTGTCTCACTAGGTAAACACGAGTAATACCAGCAAAACCTAAGTATATTTTGGGAGAACATCAAAATGCAAAATGACTGTTGGAATAATGGAGCCTTTGACTCAACTCTGGGGCACACTCCACATGGTAGAAGAGCAGCAGCCGAGGAACAGACCACTGCCTGCATTGTTAGAGCAGCTCGAGAATTTCTGCAGAATGGACTTTTTGGCTTCATGAAAGCAGTTCAGTTCCACCTTTGCAGGTTCATCTGTCACTGGTGCAGACAGACTCAGTTGCACAATAAATCTGAGCTCCATTTTTTTTCTTGTTTAGTTAAATATCTTTAAGAAAAAAAATACTTGGCTGAACTATCTTCATTCTCCTCAAGCTCTCAGTACTTTTCCACTGCTGCGGTGCCAAGAGCTGGGAACAGCAAAAGCTGATCAGCTGCAGTCCTCCTTGCCATGCAGTTCAGTGTTGCTAGGTATAGACTGCTTACTTAAAAACAAACAAATTAAAAAGCAGTTGTATAAATAAAGCATCAGAAAAAGGAGAAAAGAAAAAAAGGTATGCTGACAAGCTAGGCTCTGGGCTTGTTTTCTTTTTAAACAGATTTAAGTGAGTTCACTTCAACAAGATGCCACCTGTTGATTTATATCATTGTAAAAGCAGCAAAAGCGGACTCGGTCTCACAGTGGAGACAGGGAAGGTTACGCGGATTCCCTTGTGCTGGCCTTTTGCTATTTTACACAAGAATAAAACTGCATGTCCTCTCATACAGCTACGCTGTTTTCGATTGCTGGTATATGTGACTGTACAATATTAGCACTTCATGAAGGCATTTAAATAAATTACTGAGACTTTTTTAAAACAATGGACAAAGGAGAAAATAATTCAGGAGCAAAGGGAAGGAAGAGATCAGGAATCCCATGCAGCAGCAGAATGACAGATTTGTCAGCTGCACTAATCAAGTACTCCTTATAAGCAGTAATTTGCTGCCCCAAGCCACCGCTCAAGGGATTAGCACCACTCTGAAATTAAGTTACTTTACCTATACAGCTAGTAGCAAAGATTATAATGTCATCAGTGATAGAGCAGGAGGGATTCACACAAAGCCACCCTGGTGGCCTGGAAGCCACCGTGTTTCTGCCACCACATGGATCAATAGGACACAATGCTTAATTCTCCGTCTTCACAAATAATTTTCCTTTGTTAAGATCAAATGTCCAAGAAACTTCATGCCCTTCGCTTCCACTGGCACATGGAAAAAAACATTTGTTTCTCAGGGGAAGAATGAAATCTCCTCTCAATTTATGCTGTGATGCTCAGAAGACAGTTTCATCAATCCTTGCTGAGAACAGACTCCTCAGTAGCAGTGGTAGTGAAGGATCAGGGAGGTGGATTAGAGGATGCACGTGTGGTTTGAAAGCAAGAAGTTCTAGTGACTGTGACATCAAAGGAGCAGTACGGGGATCATTTACCACAGACAAAGGCACATAAAGATGTACTTTGAAAAAATGCTGCTGTACATACCGGTCTGCCATGAATGCTTTCGTAATACAGCAAAGCTTTTTGAAGAGCCACTTTTTCAGCTGCTATCTGATCTCTTGTCATGTCCTATGAAAAGTGGCACAGAGAGAGGGGAGGAAAAAAAAAAAAAAGGTTAGATTCCTGGACTCAATACCATTTCGTGGCCTAACTAAAGTAATATCATTTTGTCATGAATGTTTTGAAGACATGACTGCCTTCCAGTCCTCTTTTCCCAGCTATATTGCCAAAGGGACTGTTAGCATAAGTGGCACCCTACGCACAATGCGGGCAGACTGAAACCACACAAACTTTGCATATGAAGGTATTTCATGTACGTAAGGGGGATTTATCGATTATCCGTATGCTTTGAAGAAATAATGGCATGCAACTTTTAATGATGGTAGCTCTTTTTCAGTTAAGATCCAAAGTGTAAATTCTACAACAACACACACGCTCTTTCTTTTTGTCCAAATTTGAGACAAGCTCCAGTACCTCTTGCAAAGGTTGCCATCTTTGCTTTGCCACAAACAGACTTTACCAAGAACTGAAGTGCAGTCAGACCATCTCCTTCTGCCAACTCTGCTATGGAGTAAAAAGCTCTGGCAGACAGGCTGAGGGGACCAAGCCAAAAAAAAAAGGGCAGACAGTTGGAGAAGACTTCCCTAAGTAAGTTTGCCAGCGCTCCCCCACTGAACTTGCTTGACATCGAGCCTTCTCTATCGCAGCACCAAATACTATCACAGGCCCTCTTTAAATGGCCAGGCTGTAGATTCTTGCTACCATCAGAAAACAGCCAAACACACACTGTGTGTATCTTCTTCTGCAGATCTAGTAAACAAAGATAATGCTGTCTGCCCCTCTCTTACAAAGCACCAGGCAATTTACATGTCAGCAGACTCAAGGACTGCACTTACAAGGCTGCCCAAAGCTCAGGAATAGCAACATCAGACACAAAGACCTCCCTGCTGATAACCCTCAGAGATTACAGCAGCTAACAGAGCTCAGTGTGAAAACTCTGAAGAGTAGGGATAAAATGCCCTGAGGCAAGAGCATTCAGCTTTGGAGTGAACTAGAAGAAAACAGATGACCCAATTTGCCAAAAGCCTTTGGACGTAACAACAGAAATAGCCAAATACAGGGCAGGAAATATTGCAATAATTCAGAAACATTACTTGGAATATACAAGAATCAGAAAAAGAACACACAATGACATTCAATAGAAACTGAGCGGGGGGCGGGGGGGGGAATCAAATACAACAGGCAGAGGGAAAGAAACTAAAGCAAGTGAGCCAGGAGTAAAGGTTGTAGACCTTGTGATAAAACGTAGAGGACCACAGAGCTTTCACAAACAACTGGACAGTCATGAGTTATCTGCTTGTACTTAAAGGCCTAAATCTGATCTATCTACATTGTACCTTAATATCTTCAGGTCTGTTTGTCTCTGTTCGTTTTTCTTGAAGCTTTTTCTGGATAGAATCAAGGGTCGCTTCCACGGCAGGCTTGGCAGATTTATCTGACAGGTCTTGCTTCTTGTCATCGTCCTTTTCGAGCTGAGAGCCGAAGCTCTTGGGGAGCGTGTTGCTCCGCTGACGCACAACAGGGCCAAGGTCTTCCTCTGATATCTTCAGTTTTGACTCTAAACAGGGACACATGGGGGAAGATGAGTAATTTTTCTTTTTAAAAATGTGACGGTGACAAAATCACTGCCTAACACCAAATTTAAATGAGGCAGAGTCCAGCTGCCCACCAAAAGGGCACCAGTGATGGCTGCTCACCTTTAAGTTGCTTTCGGAATCTGGCCAAATCATTTGTCCATTTGAGCACCTCAGGGTTGGCTGCTTTGTCGCTGTGGGAAGGCTGGGAGGAAAGAACAGTCATGCTGAATCTGTGTTAAACCAACAGGAGAGACTCACCAAAACAAGTGTGTGTCACAAAAAGAGGTACAACAGAATTTGGACCCAGCATAGAGCATGGGCACTGGCTTCTGAGGGACGCCTGCATACCTCTGAGCAGCTCATTTCAGACCTTGCTTTAATTGCTCCTGCCTGTCACAACAGTGTCTCTTAGGGGCATCATGAGACTGATTTTCTTTTTAGAAAACACAAAACTTTTGATGGCAAACATTAAGTTGTAGGAGCGGCTCAGAGGGCCAGATGCACACTGGAAATCTTGTGCCTATTGCTTCCTAACAAGACGGCACCTCCAAAATAGACGAGGCCTAACACGAACAGCTTGAGAAGTGTTAGGATGCATGTATCCACACCAAAGGCTGCCTTACATCCAAAGACACCAACATAACCCAAGTGCTAGGCTACAGCGAGCTCTGAGCATTTCTTCCAGCCTTTTCTACTGCAGGCAAGATTCTTTCAGTACAATCCTTTGTGGTTTAGATCACCAACAAAGATGCATGCATGCAAAGCTTTAGCTCCTTAAAAAGCTTTCTGTGCGTCGGAAGGGCATGTCAGGAATAATTACAGTACAGTACACTGCTACTGCTCAGCAGCACTTGACTGTGGCTCCTTGCTCAGGAGTAAAGGCAGCTGCTGTCTCTCCTCTGCAATGCACTGGTGTCCTGGGATTACCACCATGCAAATGAGATGTGCAATTGTGCTTCCCATAAGCTGAACTTAAATAAATAAACAGAAGTTTAATATAGCTATTTTTACACACTGAGTATGTGCTTTTGGCACGCTGTTTTAAGCGGTGATCAAAATTCTGTGAGTTTATTAGGCTATCTCTTGTGCTGCACTGATAGTACATAATGCCTGGAAAGGTAATTTGCTTGGTATGGATGCACATTTTCTTTTTTGGGCAGCAGCTTTTTACTTCCTTTTTTTAAGCCCCCCCCCTTAGAAAAGCTTTCAAGCCCTCTGTATGTTTGACAGGCTTCCCTGATGTCCCTTCCCTTTGTTACTAATGCATAACTCTCCATAACAATGCTTAACTCCTAGAGACTCACTCTGTATTTCCTCTCCTCTTCGAATTTGTCCTCAAATCTCCTGATTTTTTTCTTCAGTCCCTGAATCCTCCGGGTGAGTTGCGCAGGGGTAAGGTCCTCTCTGTCATCTTCATAAGATCCCAAAGATGAACTCCGCCTCCTACCAAGAGCAGAGATTGCAGGAACAGTTTATCCAAACAGCCACAGTACATCTTCATGCAGAGAAGGCCACTTAAACTTTGCGTAAATAAAGGCAAATCCCACAGAAGTGAGAACGCTATGTTGTGACTCTGTAATGACAGAGAGCAAAAGATCCTCTGACAGCCTCTTTCAGCAACTGCAACTCCCTAGATAATAATTCACAAACCCAGAAATGATTAGTTACCAAGAACTTTTCTAAAGACACCAGTTTCCCATCAGTAGGAACAGAAACCCAACACAGCATAGCTATCCGGCATGCGTGATCCAAGGAGACGTTGCTTGATGCAACTGTGCAAACCCTTTACAGCTGGGTGTGAGAGTCAGTACAGGCAAATCACAACCCACCTCATGAAGGGATGAGAATTGGGAGGGGAAGGAGGCACTTCTGTGTCATCCAGGTACTGTTGGCTCTGTCCATAGGCATAGAAGCGAGGGGACAGCATAGGATCGCTGTCCTCATCCAGGAGCTGGCGAATTAAGCGACCGGCCTGCGGGGAAAGGCGAGCCTCATCTGAGTCTAAGCCGTCTCGCTGCCATGAGGAAAGAGCAGGGATGGGCTCTGGGAAACAGTAAGACAAAGGCTGGTTTTATTGTTTTTGTTTTACATGTACAACAGACTCCAGGCAACTTTTCTAACGAACCCTGACCCTTTTGTCCTGGACTGCGATTCCTCATCATCAGGCATTCTCTGGGTCATTCTTGCATCCGCTCTCCGTGCAAAGCAATGCAAAGCATTGGTACTCTACACAAACTTACATAATCTCCTAGACGCAACAGCAAACCGTACCCAAAAGTTGGCCAGTAATTACCACAGACTGACACCAAATGAGGCTATCACCAGCCAGCACCTCTGAGGAAAAAGTTATGCTGGATAAGAGAGAATTACTGGGACACGGCAGTATAAAGCAGGCAGCTGGATTACAGGAGGATTTATTTTCAGTTTGGGGATGTACAGATGCTGTAAATGAATAGCACATTAATTGTCCTCCTGTAGCCTCCAGCACTCCAACACGACCCTGCTGCCCACTATTGGAAATTCAAAGACCAGGAGCAAGCATAGGTTCTTCTAGTCTGCCAGGCAAAGCTGTCTCACATTACCACCTGTTCCACAGGGTGCCTAGCCTGTAAATTAACGACGACGGTGATATGGTCTGAGTTTCCCCCTTCTCTCTGTCACATGCAATCCTGCTGCTTAACAGCATGGTAGAAAAGTCAGGAAATCTTCAGTCCCCTGGACAACCTAACCAGCTGGAAGTAAAAGCAATGTTGTACAGGGAGACAGTGGAGTGGGAAAGAAAGGGAAACCCAACTTAGCATTGCTGATCAGCATAATGGAGCCAACGGAAAGCAATCGCCTCAATCTTGTGATCACTCCCTCCAGATGCCATAAGGAGTCTAACGTTTTGTGTTCAGATAGTTTACTAAGCTGATTTGCATGCTCCTACTTAGCACCACAGGATTAGACAGTTTAAGAGCCAGGCTTTGAACTTGTAAATCTAGCAAATAGTTTTAGAGTCAAGTAAGAAAACAAAAACCTTATAGAAAGCTTCCAGACGAGTCGCAGAGCTATGGAATCATTATTTCCTGTGCCTAGTGCGTCTATTCTTCTTCCACAAAGAGAAGGGGTTTTTGAGCAGAAAGTATTGCCTTTTGCTGAACAAGGTTAACATTTTCATAGCTCAGAATGGACTGCATGAGGATTCCCTTAGAGAACCTCTATGCTGTTTAATATTCCCCTCCATGTACAATTTGGACAGTGCAAGATCCTCCACAATTCAGTAACGACAGGCTCAGGGGTATTTTGCTTGCATACAGTGTCAAATGATGCTCTCCTCCTCTTCCCTTCTTCCTTAGCACATGAATATAAATGGCACGCCTCTGCTCAGAGGTTAGGGCTGCATGCAAACTGATGCATTGCTTTGAAAGGGATGACTGGAGGTTTTTATATAAAAGCCTCTTGCAGGTGTTGTGACAAGCAAAACATGCACAAGTCTGGTTTGCAGAGGTTACTTCTACGAGGTGCGCAAGTCCCAAGTGTATGTAAGGCTGCCTTGCCATGGACTGGAAAGCTTATGCAGCCTGCGCTTCTCTCAGTTAATGTCTGGAACAAGAGTTTTTTCTAAGCTGTGTTCAACCTTGGCAGTTCCTAATACCTGAAATACTTTGCTCAAGGAATCTGGTAAGAAGGAAGGTGAAATGAAGGGCAAACCCGTCAGCCAAACTGCGACACTTTCGTGTCACACACTTCCCTGAATCTCTCATGATTTCAGGAAGGTCCTCAGAAGATCTCTTGTAGCAAAATAAAGGCTAATAACACAAAAGGAGTAAGTTCGATACATGTGACTAGCAGGAA